AATGGAGCGCGTCCCTGGCGTGGGCGGCCCGTGGGGCCAACAATGGCAACGTGCACCCGGTGGGCAATTTTGGGCTTGGGGGTCCTCATCCTCTCCGTCGCGAAACTGAACGGGCAGATCAACCCCAGGGACCCCACACGCCACCCATGTGACCCCGCAGCCGCGTGTGTGTGAGTGCGTGCGTGTGAGTGTGTGTGTGTGTGTGAAAGGGAGGAAGTGGGCGGGACGGTGTGCGGAAGTGGGGGATAGGGTAGGGCCGGTACCGCACCGCACAGCACCGCACCCACCGACAACAAACACAGGCCGCTCACAATAGTGTGCACACACCGCACACACACACACAAGCACACACACACACACACACACACACACAGAGTAGGTGCCAGCTGCACCTCAGGCATCGATGACGAGCCGAGACACACACTGACAGGAAAAGGATGCGGCAGCTGGGGGCTAAACGCAGCTTTTACAGACCGCTGCCGTGATTGGCTGAGCAGTGTGAGTGAGAGAGAGACGAGAGAGAGAGAGAGGGAGAGAAGGAGAGCTTGTTTTCCAGTGGCGCGGCCCTGAAAGGAAGAGTGCGTTTCTCAAACAGCTTTTGTCGCCCCGAGGTCCCTTTGTGGTCACGCCACTGTCGCGCCCAAGACTGCACAAAGACTGGGGCGCCTGGATGGCCGAATCGCCAGTGGTCAAACATAGAGTCCACATCGCCCGGCTACTGCATAGCTACTGCAGACTCAAGCCAGCACACTGTATGGGTACGACTCGAAATTAGTATCGCACCCATTTCCATTAGAGATAGCGCCCCATTTACTCACGTTGATACGGGCACACTCACCACACACACCTGGGCGTTGAAAGCTAATCGACTTTAGGTTATTACGCACTAAATTAAATCAACAGTTTACTGAAATTTTCCAACGGGTTCGCCGCCGGGCGGGCACCCTTCTCTCTATGGGCGTGCGAGCCGCGGCAATCTTACAGTGGAGTGCGTCGCCCCCTCGCGCAACCCAGCGCGGCGCAGCGGTCTAGGGTGATCGACAGATGGCAGGTGGCGGTAGCGCACCCCACCGTAAGTATACAGCGTAGGGGACTTCCGGTGTGTGTCCCTCCACTCCACGCGTGGCGAATGCCGCGCAGCGGACCGAAACCCCGAACCCCGGACCCGGGGCCGGGGCACGTCCGAGAAAGCAAACAGGATTCGAGTTTGTTACACAGCCAGTGTTATTTTTCTGCGGCACTGAAGGGCTAGCGAGCGGCCGGCCCGAACTCGCTCAAACACTCTACTCCACGCGTACGAGTCACGATCGCATGCACAAACACACTTACACACGTACGCGCACACACACACACACACTCGCACACACCTGTGTGGACGCGGCACCACCTTTCGCGCACAGCAAGCGTGGCATTCCTGGTGACAAAAGGTGCCCCCTCCCCCCTTCGGGCCCCCTTCGGGCCCCCTCCGGGCCCCCTCTGGGGCCTTCGCCCCCCATGGCCCCCGTCGACCACCAAGCAGCGCAGCAGGGCCAGGCCACGCCGGGCAAGGCAGCATAGCACCAAGGCAAGACCTCCCATCTCGGCGCGGTAGTATTGTTCCAATCCCGTTGCAGTGTGCCGCACTGCGTGCTGCGTGCCCCTGGGGGTCGTTTTCGTCGCCCCCTCTCTCTCGCACCTATACGGAACGCCCCACGAGTGCGAGAGAGACAGAGCGACGAAAGCGACTGTGCTGGCCGTGCTGGCCTCGATGTGGTGCTCCAGACTGTGTCCCCGCTGGCTGACCGCATCCAGACCGCAACAGTGTCACTGCCGCCGGAAATGCCCCCAGTCCCATTTCGTCCCTCTTCTCCCCTATTTCAGTTCGGACATTATGGCGGCACAAAACGGTGGCAGTTGTTGTTTCACAAAAACTGCCTCCTTCTTTCCGAGCGGGATCCGCTATGAAATTGGCCTGCGCAGCAAGGCGAGCAAGGCGGTGCGCTGGAATGGTCTCGCTGCTGTACAGTCGCGCGAAAAATTCTTCCGCGGGTACGGCATCGATTTTCGGGCAAGTTTTGGCCGAGCGACGCGGCGACGCCACGCCAACCAGCAATCTGGGTGGGGCGGCCGGACCCTTGTTGCGACTGCACGGACTGCACTCGCTCCTCTTTTTTTCTGTCTCTCTCTCTCGGCCGGCGTCAGGACGGCGTGCGCGGCGGCCCGGGACCAGCTCCACGAAGACGCGAGGACAAGCCGAAATAAATCCGAGAAGAATTTGGAACAAGAGACCAGCGTGACCGGCTTGCTCGTCGTCCCGCGCCATTGTACAGTGTACAGGACGACTCGTTGTCACCGCAGCAGCTGTCGCCGTCGCTTGTCGTCCAGTGTCGTGGGCCGAAGTTCACACCTGGACCGCCCCGCCAAACGCACCTCGGCCTCGGCCCCAGCGTCCGGTGACACATCAGTGTGGATGAGTCCCTGGGGGCACCGTCACCACACGGGACTTTCAGAGGGTCCCCGCGAGGGCCCCACTTGTGCAGAGTGCTCTCCGGGGACCTCCTCGGGGGCCTCGTCGGGGACACTGGGCCCCGGGGCCCTCGAAACGTCGCCCACCTGGAAAGGACCCCATTCCGAGGCCTCCCCGGGGCCTGCATGCAGTGCGCGGCGTACGTGGGCCGTAGGCCTGCAACTGTTGACAGCCTCTTTCTCACGGGAGCAAACGCAGCGGTCCGGCCCACGGCCCACGCCTTCGCATGCACATGCAGGGGCCGCCCGAACCGCCAAGTGGGAATGGGAATTCAACTGGCTTCTTGGCGGCGCAGCGGCGCACAGCCCGGAGTAACAGCCTCGCATGCGAAGCGAAGCAGTGGCGCCGACAGACTTCAATTTATCTCGCCAACCGCCCCCTTTCCAATCGCGTTGCCGCGTTTTGAGTCGCGGACCGACACGACAGTGGAGCAGCCAGCCAGGAGATTGTCTCCGTCAGCTCGTCGGTGCCGCCGCGGTGCCGCGCTGCGGTACGCAGTGGGCCAGAAGACCGGTGGAGGCGGCCAAAACTCCAGACGCGTTTTGAGCTCCAGAGTCGCTAAGCAGGACTCGAACAGAGCGTGTGACCCCACCAATGGATTGCTCTCCGAACGAGGAATCCATTGGTGGGGTCACACGCTCTGTTCGAGTCCTGCTTAGCGACTCTGGAGCTCAAAAAGCGACTAGAGTTTTGGCCGCCTGCACCGGTCTTCTGGCCCACTGTGCGGTGCCGCGCTGGCGGACGGCTACTCAGCACAAACCGCTCACGACAAACTGTCATCCCAGTGACGGCACGCCGCGGCCACGCCGTGGCGTCGGCGTAGTGACTCCCTGTTACAGTGTGCCTCTAGGGGGAAATTGCCCCTCGCCTTGACAGCGACAGCACCGACCCCACAATTTCCAGCCCCGGACTGTTCCAGGAACGTCCTCCAGGAACATCCTCCGTCCTGTCCTCCGCGAGTGCGTGGCCATGATCCAAATGACGCGCTGTCAGCGAGGCTGACAGCCTTCACGAGCTCCTGGACGACGAGGCCTTTACCGGACGCGCGCCGCAAAATCGCTCCTATTCTCGCCGGTTCGCCAGCAAGAAAGTAAAGAATGAAATAAAAACACCGGCGTCGCCCTGCCCAGGCCCTGCCCTGGATTCGCGGACTACCCGCCGCCTGCTTCCGAACAAGGAGCGTCTCTCTCTGTCTCTGTCGCACTCACGGGGCGCCCCGCAGGCCGCGGGGCCGCGAGAGAGACAGAGAATGAGGCGGCAGGCGGCTGTGTGGGAGCAGCGGACCGCGCTTTCCTCACGACATCCAATTTTTTTCCGTTCCTTCTATTTCCTTCGTCCGTATCAAAGAATTAATCAGTTGCAGAGGCACGGCACGGCACAGCGCGGTCGCTATTGTCGTGACGTTTGTTGGACATCTGTCGGGCCTACACTTTTTGCCCGACCCTTCCACTTGCACGAACAGCGACAAAACGCTGGGGGCGGCGCACAGTGGGCCAGAAGACCGGTGGACGCGGCCAAAACTCTAGACGCGTTTTGAGCTCCAGAGTCGCTAAGCAGGACTCGAACAGAGCGTGTGACCCCACCAATGGATTGCTCTCCGAACGAGGAATCCATCGGTGGGGTCACACGTTCGGTTCGAGTCCTGCTTAGCGACTCTGGAGCTCAAAACGCGTCTAGAGTTTTGGCCGCCTGCACCGGTCTTCTGGCCCACTGTGCGGCGAAAGCAGTCTTCGGAGTGGGCTCACTGCAGGCAGGTGCGAACACCCGGCGCGCGCAGCGCTCCCACCGGTCCCCAGGTCGGGGCGACGCCGGGCGACGCGCACCCCGGCCAGCCAGCCATCATAATTATTGTGAATGCTCGAGATAACAGATAAAGGGAGAAGGACTCGTGTGATTAAAGGGATCGGAGGGCCGAGCGTTGGCCGAGCCGAGCCGGACCGAGCCGGCCACATAAACATTTCCGGTCACGGCTGAGTCATATCAGCATCCAGCAGAGTCGTTGGGTCCCTCTGGCTCCGTCGCACTCACGGGGCGTCCCGTGGGGGTGCGAGAGAGACGGGAGCCTGACCCGCGGGTCCGGCCGGCCCGGCTGCGCGTTCGTCCGGGAGTAATCGGCGTCGTCAAGAAAAGGGGGGTCGCCTCGGTGCGCCTCCTGAAAAGGACACGGAAATTAGGCCGGCCGCTCGATCCCCGATCGCTCGGCTGGACTTGGGTCTTGGACTTTCACTGCAGCCGCCAGCAGCGCTCGCGGTCCATTGAGGCTGCCTGGCTGGCTGGCCGGCTGGCGTGCGCCGCAGATCCAGAGACAAGCGATCGGCTGTCCGGCCGGTGGACTCACGACAAAGCCGCCGAATCGGAGCCGTCTTACCCGCACCTGGCTCACAGTGCAGGGGAAGTCCCTACCCGGCCACGCCAAGGAAACGACTCCACCGACAAAATCGTTCAGGGTACTGGCACACTGATTCACACGTTAAGGCGGGAGTTTTGGACTCACCACATGATCACTTGGTATCCATAACATGTAAAACCGCTTGAGAAACACAGTGGCGAAATCACAAAATCCACAAAATTGGCACTTTCACTTCACTTGGCAACGTATCCACAGGTCGCGCACTCACACAACACACGACGGCACTCACACCGTACCATTTCACTATTGCACATGTCGGCGGCGCACACGGGTAGTCACGAATCCATGGCACTGTAAGGCTGACTCCAAGTTCGTCGCGTGTTTCGTCGCGAGGCTCGCACCTGCGATGCGGCGGGACGGTGGTACGGGACACCCTCACGGCACCGCGTCCAACACCAGACTAACTGGTGGCGGCGGCGGCGGCGGGGCCGGGGCGGCCGGGCGGCGGCGGCAGGCCGGGCAGGCAGGCAGCAGGCGGCCGGCGAGACGGGACCCCCGCGCCGTGGCGCGGCGGCAAGCCCGAGCTGGCGGCTGTGGTAGGGGTAGGGCCTGAGCGCCGGTCGCGGTGCCGCCATGGTGCCGCGGTCGCCACGCCTTGACCCCTCACTCGGACCCTCGTGTGTTACCTTAAGACCGTCTCAAGGTCACCTTAGGACCACCTTTAGGTGCTTTCGGCCGGCCTTTCGGCCACTTGGCACCTTCAGAGGCACCATTAAATCTCGCTAAGACCCCACGTGAGGGACTCATCCTACTTCACGCGTGTCGCGGGCACCTCGAAACTGCCGCCGGCTCAGCCGACGTCAGCTCTCCTGAAAGGCCGCTTGGTTCGCCTGGTCGGCGTGGTCACACCACGGGAAACACGCTTCAACACTCACTGCTCTGCACTCGCGAGCGGCGCTGAATCCCGGCCAAATACGTTAGCGCCCTCGCTTCGCCGGTCCTGCAGTCCGGCAGTGGCGCTGATAACCCCCGGGGACCCTAATGAGTCACACATATGGATGAGGCGAGTCTCGGAGGAGTCCATCCGTCTTGCCAGCGCCAGTCTCTGTCTCTCTCGCACCCCCTCGTCCGTACGGGACCCCGCGCGCGAGTGCGAGAGAGACAGAAGCCTGCACCGCGGCCGCGTCCGGAGCGCATCCGTCCACGGTGACCTGATGAGACAGCCGTGGGGCCGATAACAGCATCCTCAATGGTGAGTGAGGTTAGGTGTTCCAGGTCCAATTAAAGAGCCAAAATATCGGCCTTCCCGCTCGCCGCGCTCGTCTCTCCTCCCGGCAAGCCCAGCCCAGGCCAAGTCTGCTCGCTCGGCGAAAGTGCGGTTTGCTGTCCCGGGGCGTATCATTGTCTATGGCAGCCACAGCCCGCTACAGCAGCAAGCAGCTACGTAAAGGGATCGGCGCCGTGCCGTGCCGAGCCCTGCCGTGCCGTGCCGAGCCCTGCCGGCCAGGCTGCGCCGTCGCCGTCCAATCTCGCAGCTGATGATCTCGGCCGTCGCCGCACCGGCGGATCGCCGGAAAACTTTCACTGCATAATCGGCGGATAAGATTATTTTTTAAGCGCTGCGACGTACATGATGGCCCGCCGATGCATTCAATCGCTCACCTGGATGCACCGTGCATGTGCATGATCATGCATGCATGCGATTCGCCGATGAGGATGAAATAATCACCAGGTCGGCCCATTGCAGCCTCAACCTCCAATTATTGCGTATATCTCCGATACGGAATGTGGCGGGGCGGGGCGGGGCGACCCCCAAGGACCTCACGGCGGCGGGGGCGGGGCGGGGGCGGCCAGGTGAGCCGGCATACTGAATGCAGGGGAGCGCGCGGCCGGGGGCGGTGCGGGGCGGTGGCGGCCGTGGTGGCGGCCGGGGGGCGGCGCCCTCGTCTGATTCATAAAGGACCTCCCGGCCGCCCACACGCCGCACCGCCCGCACCGCCACCCTCGAAGCACTGGGAAGCACGCACGCAAGGCGGCGGGGGCGGCCCTAAGCCACCACGACAAGGAATGACGTCACCCCTCGCGGTTCCTTTCCTGCACCCCGCGTGCTCAGTGCAGGACAAACGAAGGGCGCTCCCGGCGGGAGTTGAACCCGGCGCTGTGACAGGTGCCTCCACTTTTGCTCGGCGACCCACGACCACGCGCTGGCGCGCTGGCGCTCTGGCACGCGGACTACATGATCCGAATAAGGCGACGCAGATTTGCTGGCGGCATGTATTCCCGTCCCGGACAAGAATGGAATGTTAATCCATGCTGGTCCAGTGGCTGGCAGCGTTGGGCCTCATGGCGCGGCCTGCCGGCCAAACGGATTGTGTGAGTGTCATGACAAATGGTCGCACGGCCAGATTCATCACAAAGAATTGAATTATGTAAAGCGGCTTAAGTAGAGCACGGCACCTCCGCGCTGCGTATATAGCACTATGTATACCGAGCCAACAATGAGAATGACGGTGACAAAATCCCTCCCGGGATAAAGTAGCCCGAGTCAGGAGAGCTTTTTTTAAAGACTTGCGTGTACCTCGTATTCCCAGTGAATGATTTTTCACAGGGACGGGGCTCCACGGCGGGGCGGGGCGGGGTCGTGACCCGGCTGCTGGTGACGCCCAGGACGCCCAGGACGAGGACGGAGGCCAGCCTTATGCATGCATGCGTTCGTGTTCCTTTTCGAACTGTCGCCTCCAGATCGACCACCAGAGCGCAGCACTGCGCTTCACTGCCGAATAATTTTAAAGGCCGTTAATTTGATAACTTACTAACTGCAATATTTGTAAAAAAAAAAATCAAAATTATCACTGGCTCTTAGCTGGTGTAATGCATTTTTACCAGTAGTACTGCGAAAGCCTCTTGCCGGCCACTAAACTAACAGACTAGCAACATAACCGTACCCGAGCAGAAGAAAAAAAAAAGAATCAGTTGAAAAACAGTTGAATCAGATGCTGTCGCCCGGCCGCCTCCCTCGCGCTCGAATTAGGAGGTGCAAATGAACCGGCTGGCTTATCTAGGCGAGCTCCCGTTCGGACGCACCGCCTTCTCGCTCGGCAGCCACCGCCTTCTACGCCGAGCGCCGTGGCCGTGGGCTGCAGGTACCGTAGGTCCATATCGATGTATCGAAGCAGGCCGTGGATGCAGCAGCATCGTGCTTTACCCAGCCAACTCTCGAGAACTCCCGAGAACCGAAACGGCGGCAATACGTCACCACGTGATCTCGGCTGTAAAAAAAAAAGGAAAAATTGCCCGGGCAATCGAACCCGCGACCGCACGGTGGTGCAGCTTCCGCGTGAAAGCAGTGGCAGCGGCGGAGGGATTTGGGGCGCCGCCAACAAACCGATCACGCGGCAGTACAGTAATTACTGCGCCTGCACTGGCTTTCCCTTCCGCATCGCTTCGAGACGTCCGCTAGGCGTCGCTAGGCGTCGCTGGGCGTCGCTAGCCGTGAATGCAGCCAGAGACGATTAACCCCGTCGGGACAGATTGAGGTTTTGTACCTGCAGACTCATTCCGAACTCCGTGGCTCCCGTCTCCGTCGCACTCGCTGAGCGTTCCGTGGGTGAGCGAGACTCCTCCGATTCGCTCGGCTGAGTGACACGGAGTGACACCGAACTACCGAATGGATCGCTTCATGGCGGGGTTTCGGTGAGGTTAGGTTGGGTTAGCATAGAAAAAGCCGCAACACCGCACAAACGGAAAACAAAAACTTTTTATTCCGAACATCCAATAATAGTCTTGGATTCCGAATCAAGGCAGCGACCACGCCAACATTTCAGAAAAGCAATCGACATCGCGGACCGATCTAAGAGCCTTTCGCCTAATTTCCTTCATTGTCTCCGCGCGCTCGCTCGCGAGTCGTGCCGGAAAAAGTCCCCCGGAGGGCCGAATAAGGGCGCCCAACCACTTTGGTGGCGAGCGGGTAAACTTATCAAGAATCACAGCGCAGCCCAGTGCATGCCGAATGGAATGGCGTCTGCAGTTAGATTCGGCGCCACGGGATAGGCATCGTGTCACGCCGCGCCTGCTTGCCGCCGCCTGCCGCAGTGTGAGAAAAATGCAGCGAACAGAAGCAGCCCGACCCGGTGCTCGTCGAACCACCTTGTGGAAAATTGGCCATGATCCTCTTTTGCCTCTGAAACGAAAATTCTGAAAATTGGAATACATTTACGCGTCTAATAGTCGGCAGCCACCACCCGATGCCCCATTCCGTAAGTTCGGGCCTGCCACCGCGGCGCCGCGGGGTCGCCTTTCTAATGAACTGCTGTTGTGCTGCGCCGGGGGCGGGGCGGGGCGTACCGTGGCGGGGCGGGGCGGGCTTGCTCCCGGTCCCGTTCCGTGTGCGAGTGCAGCGAGTGCAGCACACCCTAAGCGCCGTGTTAGAGCGTAAGCTAGCTAGGTCAGACGGCGCAGCGACCACTCCCCCCCCCCCCTTCCCCTCTGTGCCGCTGCGAATATAATCGCACTACAAATAACCAGAAGCACCCGGCGAGCGAGCGCGCAAGGCGGGCACTGTACCAAAGCGCACTGTGTGTGTGTTGTTGATGTGTGTGAAAGGCCGGAGTGCGTTGAGGGACGTACGCAAGGAATGTGGAGCGGGAGGAATGTATTGAACGTCGTCCCACATCCGGAAACGCAATTGCATTCACTGTGTGGAAACGGTCGCCCGTGGGGCCCGGCCCGCCAGCAGCCCGCCGTGGGCACACAGTGGGCACACTATGTGGGCACACGAGGAAGGGTGCCCCGTAGGTCCCGTCCGCAGAGCATCCGCAGAGCGGGTCCCGCGGGAGAGGGGCCGGGGCGTCGCGCGATGCCGGGCCGCAGCGGCGCGGCGCGTAGCCAAAGCGTTAGCCCTAGCAGGCGGTGCGTGGATGCGCAACGTGGCTAACGGGACCCACCTCGGGCGTTTAGATGTGTCGACGCGGACTTAGCCGCGAGAAATGGGACTGCGTGCGGTAAGCAGTGCAGCGCAAACCTACCAAAATGTGTCTCCCAGCGCGGATTCACGATTTGTGTCGCAGGTAACATTTCACTACAAACAAAAAGCAAGTAAAATCATGCGTCTTCTCTCCCCAATGGACTGAAATGTGAAGAGTGCTCACTAGATACGTAGCAGCGTGTTGCATGTCACTTCGGTTTTCCGCCCGTCCCGACGGCCCCGCCCCATGATGCCTGTCGTGCCTTTCACCGAAACGCAACACAATCGATGTGTATCGGGGTGGCCCGACTACCCGCAGGCCCGCAGGCTTCGGAGGACAAGTCCAGCTCGTCACTTATGCAAGGCATCGCCGAGAGAAAGGACGTTACGGCGTTTGTTTCGGTTCAAGATTCGGAACGCCGACGTTCGGTCCGAGAGAAGATGGCGATTCACGGTCCAAATCTCCCAACCAACAAA